CTGTTCTGATCTTTTTTCAATGTCTTGCCACAATATAAACCATCGTTTGGCTCATGAAATTTCTGACAAAATACCCACCAAGAACTTGTGGGACTACAATGGCTATCACTGGTCCTGAACTTTTTTCTGTGTGGACTCCGTTGGCGGTGCAATATCTGGAGCATTTTTAGAACAATGTTTTAGACACATAAGACGAAATATACTCTATTACAAAGGAAACCAATTATATTGAAATCTATTTGTCAAATGACTTGCTTTCAAAAGAAAGTAATATAGTAGGACCTGAGTTTCATTACTAGTATATTAAATAAGATCTAGTGAAGGTCAAATGAATACTGTAACTCTGAACCACCAATGAAAGTAAATGGTATGTCAATGTGTGCCCATGAACATAAATGATATGTCAAGGTGCCCTTCACAAGACTAGTGCAATCTGAAAACCACGGCAGTTAGATTTTATGTCAACTTGCACTTGTAGACAAGTATCAGGATGGAGTCCCACCTGATGATACCTCATTAGGAATGTGGCCTTTTTTACAGGAGAAACTGGGAATTTCTCCTTTTCTCTTTGCCCCTTCACCTTCTTGCCTGCTGGGACTCTGAATTTAAGAGGGGCCCCGTATGGACTGCCAAACCACCAGCCTTGGATCCATGCAACTCTGTACCTACTGGCCTGTGATCACCCTGTTGCCCAATGAGCATTTCCATGTCATTGGCCTGCAGCTACTTGAGGCCGAAGAGGGCCCAAGCTAACACTGGACCCAAGAACTTGAGTTGGACTGGGCTGGGCTGCCTTTCTTGAAATAATATTATTTCTTGCTATAACATTTTTTCTTATACATGAATGGGTGTCACTAGTTTTATTTCCCTAGACAACCCAGCCTAACATGGTGACAAAACCACAAATACTCTTAATACAAGTAAGGTCTGACTCCAACCTTTATCAGTGAAAGAAATGCTGTATGCCAGTGAATGCTTCATGGAAAGAAAGATGTAATGGTTGTAATGGTTTCTGCGTTAGGTCCGGTGGGCTAGAGAAACAAATCCAGTGACACTCATGTAAATGTAAGAAAGAGCTTTGTATCAAGAAGCAATTGTACATTAGGTAAACATCTCAGCCCGGTCCAAATCAAAGCCATACGTCTGATACTAGTCCATCAGTCTCTCTTCAGACTCATGCAACCCCAAGCACTGATGCAAATGCAGGAAGAATACTGGCTGCCAAGTGCAAAGTCTTGTGGCTCCAATGGCAGTGGACACATCTCCAGGGCTCACACAGGTCTCTGTCTGCTCCACAACAGGAAGGTGAAGGCAGAGAGAAAGAGGAAGTTTCCAGAATCCTTCTTATGAGAAGGCCATGCCCACCAGGGGGTACCATCAGGCTGTGTGTGACCTGATTCACGGGCTAGACTTCACCCCTATATTTATTTATCAAGTTGACATGAAATTATGTAACCATCACAAGTACTCCTTCCAAGTCTATAGCAACTTGAATTTCATTCACAAACTCGGTGTTTAAGACAGCTCTCAAGAGAGAAGAAAAGCAGAGTTCCAATCTCTGGTCCCTTAATGCGGACAAGCCACTGAACAATGCTGGGCCAGTTCTTTCATCAGTAAAATGATGGTGTAGGTCCATGTTCCTTTTAAATTTCCTTCAAGGACTTGGCAGTCAGGAAGGAACATTTCCAAGCATGGCAGGCTACTGAATCTCACTCCACATGTGATACACTTGGACAGAATCATTACAGGACAGCGAGAAAAGTCACTTCATGCATGAATTGCATGACCTTGCTTTATGACCCTAGTGGATGCTGATCAACATCCTACTTAACTGTCACCAAACCAAAGCACCAAACTCACTGCCCCTAAGGTAACATTGACTCACAGTGGCCCTATAGGACAAGGTCGAACTTCCCTTGTGAGTCGCCAAGACTGTAACTCTTTATACTAGAAAGCCCTGTATTTCTCCCAATGTTTCAAAGGGCCTTTAATTACCACTGCTTTCATTTCTAGACTTGGCCCAATTCTGTGACACAGAGTTGTGAAAGCCCCCTCGTACCTTAGGACATCATGGAAGGTGACATCCCCACCATTGTGGAGTCTTTCCATTTCATAGCACATGTGCTTAAACAAGAGTTTGTCTTTGTCCAGGTCTACCTCCAGCCTCCCACGCAGCAGCCTCAGCAGGAACTTCACACGGAATGCTGGAATCACCCCCTGGGCAGCAGCAGGGCACAAGAATGGGTGAATCATCGTTAGACCCGGATGACTCACTCGAGGCTCTGCTTTCATAGTACCAACAAACCAACAAACAAAACAAGAGAGAGAGAGAACAAAACCCCAAAGGCCACAACAGAAGTTATTTTTCAAAAGATAGTATAGTTAGCATGGATGTGAAGCGAAGTGGGAGGTCTCGTGGTGGCTAGAAGATACAGCACGTGGTCGGAAGAGAATGCGCGTGATAGCGATGCACTGCAGTGGCCCCTGGTACTTCTCCTGGGCTTTCAGGCACCCTCCGAGTGCAGCAGTGGGAGCCACGGAAGGTAGCCATGTCCCTTGTCCTTGGTTCATCAAAATCACTCATTGGATTGTTTCACACTGTGCAGGGCTTCCCGCAAACAGTCACATGGGCTTTCCTTCTACTTGGGAAGATGAGCAACACAGCCATGTTTGCAGGTCAGCCCTCCGGTCTTGCCATGGCCACATTTCCCTCTTCCTTTCAGAGGCTAGGTTTCAGAGATCACCTCTTCAGACAACTCCCTTCTCCAGGACAGCTCAACCCCAAACACTGGCCACCACAGATCCTTCCAAGTGTTTATCATTTTGTGAAGTTGTTTATTGTCTATTCACTTTTGGAATGTGAGCCCTATGGGTCTGGGGGTCTTTTCATTTTGCCCTTGATTTATCCCCAATGTTTAGAACTCTGTCTGGGGGTTTCTGGGTTAAAGAAGGACAAGAGAAGCAGCACTGGCTGCTTCGGCTCCTTCCAGCAAACCCTGGGTAAGCCTGACGATTATTTCTACATCCCACTGAACTCATCTGTGCTTTTCAGCGGGATGGCTACTTTCGGTTTGAAGTAATCATAGACCGTCCTTTGGTAGCTCTAGTGTTACTTTTGTTCCTGCCCTACAGCCCAAGCCTGATTTCTCCAGAACTCCCTTGGTTTCATTTCCTTGTTCTTCTGAAAATTTGGGTAAGGGGATGTTCGTTGTTGCAGTGGACACCGACAGGAATCCTTGTGGTGTCCGTTTCCCTCCCTCCTCCTAGAATATTCCATTGAAGTAACAAAGACAGACTTATACAACTCACAATTCAATACATACCAATGGTCAATCACAAAACTATCAGGATCTGAGAGACAGGGCAGTAAGTTGGTTGCGGGGAGGGCTGGGCAGGAAACACAATCTACTGTCCTACCTCTCTTTTATCATCCACCATATTCCATATGATCTGAAAATGGCGAAGGTCATTGTAACTTAAAAGCTGATCCTCCTCGGTGGAATAAAACAAGGAGAAATTCTCCACAATTATAGCTAGAAATAAAAGAAATAGAAAAAGTCCAAGGTTAGAGATGTCTTTAATTTGTCATTTTTTAGAAAAAGCCAAATACCTTACTTTGAGTGATTGACTTTAACACCTACATTGTAAACCACATTTAAAAAATACTCTCAGCATGGTTTCCAAGTTGGCATGTTTTTACAGCTATTTACCCAGTTTTTGCCTTTCCCAAACATGAGGGTCATGTGCACAAATGCGCATTCTACTTACATAGCTATTCATGTCTCTTGGCTTGGCTTTAATGCTTAGTTGAGAGCCAGGGCAGCTTTTAAAGGTCAGACTGTGAGTTCTGTGTGACCCCAAACCTAGATGCACAGTGTGTTTCTCTCTAAAACCTAAAGGTGATGCTCAGAGGATACAAGGTCGCCCTCCCTGATATTTGCTGCAGTCAGTCTAGGAGAGGGGTCTTTTGAAATGAAGGAGCATAATAAATGGTCCAACTCTTGAAATTGCAATCAACTGCCATTTACATACTTTTAAAAGGTCTTTTCAGCTTCTGAATCAAGAGACAACAATTTATAATTAATGCTATGAAACACCCACCCCAAGCAATCCAGGGTAATTACTTGAAAATTATACATAATTATCTAAGTACCTGAGCTTAAAGAGATTAAAAAAGATTCAATGAACATCACTTACCTACAAGCAGATTTAGCATGATATAGGCAATGATGACATAAAACGAACAGAAATACATAAGTGCCCCGGCATAGTTTCCACAGTCCGTTACCCAGTACGTAAATTCATCTGGAGTGCAGAAAGGAGGCTGAACCTTTGGGGCAGGTGGGAGAAGAGAGAGCCCAGGGAGAAAGGGGAGAAGAATACAAATCCCTGTTAACTGACTATACTTAATGAACACATTCCTAACCGTGCAAAACTATAATGAACATCAAAGTAATCTTCCCAAAGCCACGGGCATGCTCTGTAGCAAAATCCAAAGGGAACGCTCTCTTTACTCCATGCCATGAGTCCTGAGGACTCCCACATTCACTAGCATCTTTGGGACCACTGTCGAAATGAAGGAATTCTCTCCAAGTGAGAGGAAGCCATTGTGATACAAATCACACACACTCAAAAACTCCACAGGAAAGGATATTTTAAAAACCAAATGTTTTTGACATAAATAATGGGCTCAGGTATAGGAAGGTAGAGAATATGCAGCCACTCTGTCTGGAAATGTTTAAGGCAATGCTGGCTGTCTCCATTCCTACAGGACAGCTATGGGATGCTAAAGAGAGCTCAGGGCTCAGAATCTCAAGTTGTATTACTATTCAATAGCCCAATGGAAGGCCATTGGCTCTGAGAAAGCTCCCCTGGTTTCTACCAG